TTTAAAAAAGGAATTCCTTTTTCCTTTTTCCTTTTTTAAAAGGGAAAAAGATGTTTCTTTAATTTTCTTTTTGCGGAAGAGAGAGAAACATTTTCTCCATTCTTTTTTAATTGTTCTCATTTCTGTTTATGTTTGAATTTTACAACTCTCTATTTCGAATAGGAATGTCGTCAAACAGAAAAAACAATACTTTTTCTGTCTGAACTGAACCATGGCAAGTAGCAATTTTTCAAATGAATCTATTACAGTTACTCCTGCTGCTGCTGTTGCTGCTACGGAAACTGGAAAGACCAATGACGACGACGTTCAACGTGTAGGGAATGAATTAATGCAAAGTGAATTAGCGATTCCACAGTTACCTGTCATCATACAAATTAGAGATTCGTACGCATCATTACAGTCTTCTTTGGAACCACTGATGGCTAACGATCCGGTCCTCAATCAGCTTAACAGAAACGCAAGTGGCGATATTGAAAATCTTATGAATATTATCGAAATTGCAAGAGATATGAGAGGAACAGCAGCAGATCTTGATCCGCACCTACGTAATGTTCCACCACAGGTTATTGAAAAAGTCAATACCAGAGGACAACGTATGAATACAAACATATTCAACATGGTTCATCGAATCGTGGAAAATATCCAGCAAAATTTGGCGGTTCTGGAAAAAGCTGTATCAGAAAATGCTAAAACCAAAAGTGATCCAGAAATTAAGCAACTACTTCACAAACAACGTGATATTACAAATAATATCGCACCTGATCCTCGACAGGCGTATGGACAACTTCAATTGGCTGACGAAATTGGTGGTCGTTTGCTTGAACAAATAGGGAAAGTAGAATCAAATGCAAATGCTCCTGTTATTGTGACTGGACAACAAAATTCAAAATATTTGAAACTTGCAGTTAACCTTGTACTTGTATGTGCAGCTGTTCTCGTGGTCGTGTGCATAAGCGGCGGCGTGATTCTCACAGCTAACGTCGGATTCGCGCTTGGTGCAACAGCTTTTATAGCAGCTAGAGACAAC